TGAAATTAAATATAGTCATACAGATCAGAATTATTTTCAAATTTTCCTGATAAAAAAAGTAGACAAATAGTACCCAAAAAAGGAAGACAAATAAAACCCAGAAAAGGAAGAAAAAATTAGACAAATATTTTCATTTGAAAATAAAAGCTTACCTGATGGTCAACATAAATTCGTCAAGTTAACAAAGATGCAACTCGTAATCTAAAAAGATGTATATTTGAATCCATTATCAAAATAGTTTATTTATAAATAGTTCTGTAAGTATTTTTCTAAACTTTCAGATATAAACTGATGACTTGGTCTTTGGGGGCTTGACGTCGGTCAAACTCATTTAAATCAACAACAATGAACCGGGGGGGGGGGGGGGGAGGCGCTTGCCTATTGAGATTTTCTTTTGCGAAGACTAGTACTAATGTTGGTCAACAAGTGAGAATGAGTTTCCAAATGAGAACAGGAAATGACATCATTAATTTCAGCATTGCACTTATATAGAGACATCCAAAAAACATAATATTTGGTTGGAAAAGTCAGAAAATTTGTGTGGAGGAGGAGGATCGATTTCAGGCTCATCTCCCCTCTTCCTTCTCAAGTCCCATCTCAATAGTTCAAACGAAATATTACATATTACTGCATCTTTCCTTTGACAGAAGTAGCTTAATTTTTAATTTAATCTTAAAATATCCTAATCTAATTTGTTTTTTTTAATGTTTATTCATTTTTTCAAGGTAGTTTTATAGTGCTTGCACATGTTAAATGTTTCACCAAATAACATTTAATTAACATAGGTATTTTAAGAAAAATAACACCTATTTATTACAAATAATTAACTCAACAACTTTTTTAATCTACTCAAATTAGTTAACTACCTTTTATATTAAGAATAAAGGTAGTACTACTATTATAATAAAATCTACTCAACTAATTTGAGTAGTTCAATAGATTTAAAAAAACTATTTAAATTAGTTATTTGTTAAAAATATATGTTAATTTTTTTTTAAAATACCTTCCTATATCATTTATATTGAAACTATTTCTTGATATGAACTTCTTTAACATGTGTAATTAATAGGAATAATTTGAACAGAAATAAAAAATAAAATATATTAAGATTTTATATTTATTATCAAACTCAATATTTCAATTAGTTTTTATATTAGAGACCGAAGATAATATGTCTATGGGTATATATGACAAAATGTTATTTGCTTATTCCTCCTGGTTCACTCAATCAGCATCTATCAAATTTGACTGATTTAATCTTAATAAAACGGAAACATGGCCTCAGCAGGCCGCCTGAATTATTTATTATTATAATATGAAACGAAAGACGTATGGGGGAGATTTTATTTGATCCTTTGTGCCTTTTCATATTAATCATTTTCACCTACTGCTTTGTCTTAACATTGATGTATTTTCTTTGTTTTATTATATTTGGCGGTAACAAGAACCAAAAAAGAAATCAACTATTGCTGGTGAAAAAAAAGAAAAAAAGACAAAGAAATCAACCATGTCGGTTTTTACTATAATACTATCTTAATCTCACCTTTTAAAAGGATAATTAGTTGGTAAAATAAAGTGGATATGTAATTGTTGGCTCGCAGATCAACTGTAACTATGGGAGTATACCTTTCTTTGCTGAAATTTGATAGTTGGACTGTGGGTCCAAATCCGTTATTAATGGGTCAGACTATTTGAAGAGAAAATTATATAATATTTCAATTGAATTAAATTAAATTAAATAATCAAGTGAGATTATATTTCAGTTAACTGGTCAATTAATTAGATTAACCACATGATTAAATATAACAAAATCAAACAAATGATTTAATTTATAATATCAAGATAATCTATATACATTCCATGGATATTCAAGGTTATAATATCTAGGGATTAAGCCAGAATTTAATCCAAAATATACTAATATTGAGAATATACGATAAAGATTTCAATCAGTTTTAAATTCAAATCACAATTTTACAGATTGAAATAGAAGGATATTAAGAATATATCTCATCTTATGGATATTGTGAATATTTTACATTTCCAAAATGTCCTTGCCAAACATTATAAAAGAAACTCCCATTCATTAGCTTAACTCGTCCTAGTCATTGAATTTTTTGGATATCTCTCCTCCTCTCTTATTATTCTCTCTTGTGCAGTGCTCTGCCTACATGAACATTGGTAAATCAACTTGTGGAGCTTCGAAAATGACTCATAAAAGAATATGAATCTGACATGGTACACAATCTTTCCTAGTTATATTTATTTTTCCAACGAGAATAAAGGACGTCTAATGAAATTTAATTAAAAAAATGATAAAATAAATACATATTGAATATCAAAAAGATAAATAGATCTGTTGGCTATTCTTGTATTGGTTTTAATTACCCTGGTAATAGTTTGACAAGTCAAAATCTGTTAAAAAATCTATTTGTCATTTTTCAAATTTAACGGTATTTTTGTTGTCATTTTCCCTTAATAAAATCATATGAATAGGGGTGCTCCATTTATATTACCATTTGGGTGGTTTAAATGAAGAAAGGCTATTTGAATTATTTATCGTTAGAAGGTTTCTAACAAACTTAAAGGAAGCTTTATCAAATTGCTACAAGGCCAGCAATCTTATATGACAATAAATGTTAGGCTTTAAGAAGACGAGCATAAATTTGTGGTAACAGATATGGGACTGTTGAGATTGATGTGGTGCAATACAAGAAATATAAAATTTGTAATGAACATATAAAAGAAAGAGTACGGATAATGCCTATTAAAAAATGGGAAAAAATCATTTGGGGTAGCATATGGACATGCACAAGCAAAACCGTTGAAAGCGTCGATGGGGAAGACAGATCAAACAAGCAACACTACTCAATAAAATTATTAAATATGACTTTATGGTTAACAACATATCCAAAAATTTTACTGTTGATAAAATATAATGACACGCAATTTATATAGCCGAACTTATTTAGTGGAATAATTCTTATCATCTAGTATGAAGAGAGAGATCATTCCTTATGTGAAAGGATGAGAAAGAGTCTAAGAGAGCTACAACTCACTTGGACAAAAGGGAAGGGGGGAAAACAGAAAGAGAAATAACATGGTTTCAATCAAGTGATTGTAAGCATAAAAAAATTGCTTAATATCAGTAACACATAGTGGTGTAGAAACGATGGACATGATTCAACCCTTGGTTCAAAATCTGTAGTTATTGTTACTTATAATTACCCATCTCCGTTCGAGATGAGGGCTTTTTCTTTGATAGAATGATGATCATTTCACTGTGCCTAGTCCTCCAAAAAAACCAAAACAGAATTGTGACTGAAATTTTAAAGAACCTTGCATTGCCAAGTGAATGACAGCTACACACACACACACACAAAAAAAAACACACACACACACACACACATATCGCCATGTGAACATTATAACTTACTATATGTACGTGTGCCACATCATTATTGCTAATCCATCAATAATGTACCTAACTTTTGCATCTCTATATACACACCATAATACGATTCTTCTCTGTGCAGGGGTAGGGTACCCTACTATACAGTGAGATTTTTAAATCTGAGGTGGTTCTATATAAATGAATTGAAAGACCTATATATGCATGAATCAGCATCAGAGAGTGAATGATTTGGAACAAAGTCACGAGATGATCATGGGTTAGTGAAGCATTTTGGACCTATTGGCATTCATCAAAATGATGAGAAAAGGGGAAAAAAATTAAACAGCATTTATAAAAGTGATCCAACACAGCTTATCAAAAGTTCATTGCATTGTATTTCTTCTTGTCTAAAATCTGGTCTATTAATTTGACCAAACGGTTGTTAATTAGACGAAGGGGTTTAATTATAAATATGGAACAAATGTTTGAAAGTGTTTTTGCTTGCATGACTCCATGCCATATATACTTGAGAAGAAATTGCTTATTTGTGCCAAAACTTATCAATGTATCTATATATTCTTCATTAGGAAAGTTCTCAAATATTAATCAAATGTAGAATTCAAACTCTCAGATACAACCTCCTCCTATACCTAATAGAAGAGTTAGACAACTAATTTGACAATATTAAAAAAATTAGTTAACTTAGTTATTTGTAACAAATGTGTATTATCTTCCCTAAAATATTCTTGTTAATTATGTGTATTAAAATGAAAAACTATTTAATATGTTAATTGAAGTAACCAGGAGGACTATTTTTTAAAAAATAAATTGTGATCTTCACTCAAATCAAATGTCCAATTAGGCTTACATCTAAAATCAGTAATATTTAATCTGACCAATTGGGCTAACCTTGTTGTGTTATATACTAAACTGCACCGTATATCTTCTCTTAAGAATTTGATCGGTGAACTCAGTTCCCCAATGAAGAGACAAGCTCAATCTCACAAACTGTTAACCCCCCCCCCCCCAAAAAAAAAATTCTCAGACCTAGTCAATGGACAGGAAGATGAGAGAACAGAATAATGAACACAAAATATCAGGCACTCTTTTTTCCCCCTTTTTTTCTTTTGGAGGCATGAATTTGGTGGTTACTGTTGAAAGAGTGGGATTGTTGTTGAGGAAAGAAAAAGAAGAAGGAAATTGGTACACGTCAACACAGGCAGCTGGGAAGCCTGAAGAAGCTGCGTTTTTCTACTCCTGATACTGGCACTCCCCACTCACTCTCTCTCACTCACCCAAAATCGCACCCCCTCTCTCTGTCTATATATACACGCATATGACTTTCTTTTATCCTTCATCTCTATCAGCTTTTTACTCTCTCAAAAGCCTGTATAACTCTGCTTTCTTTTCCTCGTCTCTACTATGATCCTATTACTGTGTTTTGTGATCACAGGCAATCGATCTTCAAGCTTTAATTCCTTCCCCCCCCCCCCCCCAAATATCTTCTCCGTGTCTGTTTTACATACTTGTATTAAAAGTTGAGTGAGAGATCTTACCGGATCCAAAAGGATTTGGTATATATATACCTCTAGAGAAAGCAAGGGGATTCGGCTTTTTTCTCTTAAGTTTCTTTCTGCGTCATCACTTGCAAAAAGTCTATACAAATCGGATCTTCCTTCAGTATTAATTCAGCTATATATCTTCTTTATTTGCTCGTTTCCAACACTTGTTCTTCAAAACCACCTTCTTCTTCATGGGTCGCAAAAATAGCACTGAGAATTCCCCAAATTGAATTAATTTGAATGGAGCAAATAAATCCCCAGTGAGTTCTTCTCTAACACTCTCACTAATAAGCTAAGCCCCCTTTTCTCTAACAATTCAGAGCCATGCCCGTGCAATCCACTGTGAAGCGGTCTGGGTCGTCTGATCAAAGTACGTCTTTTGAGGCTGAGGATGATTCATTATGCAAAACAAGTCGTCGAAGAAGAAACAATCAAAAGGTCATCAGAATCATAATTACCGACCACGATGCTACAGATTCCGACACTTGCAGCGATGAAGATGATGCAGAGAAACGTCGAAGGTTACGAAGGGTTAAGAAGCATATAACAGAGATCAGTATGAATGTTCCCTCATCTCGGTCGACTTCCTCTTCTCTTGCTCGTTTCACGAAACACGACCGTACTATCTTGAAGAGACCTAAGAAATCTCCGTCTCGCTGCCATAACAAGTACAGGGGTGTTCGTCGGAGGCCGTGGGGGCGGTGGGCCGCTGAGATCCGAGACCCGACGCGTCGGAAAAGACTGTGGCTGGGAACCTTTGACACGGCGGAGGAAGCCGCCAGCGAGTACGACAAGGCTGCAATCATGCTCAAGGGTGCGAACGCCGTCACGAACTTCCCTAACTACGTCGTGACGGAGAAAGAAACACGGCGGGTAACAGTGGACACAACACCAAACACCGAGGGATTCGCCTCCTCCATGGCGTCTCCGACGTCGGTACTGGCCTACGACAGCGATTATTCAACGGCGGCGTTCGAGGGTTTCTGCTTCGGCGACGTCGTCGATCCATTGGGCTTCGAATTCGATATCGAGGTGCCGTTGACGGACATGAACGTGGTTGGGTTCGGTGGTCAGAAGAAGTCGGAGGGTGAAGAATTCGAAGACTTTGACGCGGACGAGTTCTTGACGTGGCCTGACTCAATTGGAAAAAGGCCTTAATTTTCAGTACATTGTGAGGAGACATGACAAAAATCTATCTTGTTTCTGGAACATTAAGAGCTGGAGTGGGACTTCTTGTCCTAATCTTGCGATTAAAAATCTAAATAATTTTTGTCCCAAAATTTTGGGAAAAAAATAATTTTATCAACTCTTATAGATGTGGTTTTTTTATTAACTTTTTTTCACTGTTTCTTCAATCATAAGCACTAACATCTATATTCATAATTTATTAAATAGAACTAATATAGATACAGATTAAAAACATATAAGTTGTCATAAAATAAATATTTTATTTTATTTTTACTTTTAACATTATAAATCATAAATAAGATTAGGATACTGAGTGTACTAAAAAAGATAACATTATGGTTCTAGATGTACTAAAAAAATAATAACTTCAAGATGCTGAACCATAAATAAGGTCTGGGTGCTAGATACACCTAGAAGATAATATTAGATGCTTGATGTTACTTTATCCAAAAGAATGAAATTTTAAAATAAACATATACAGTTATTTGTTTGAATTCTTTTAATGGCTAAACATCAAAATTTACCCATGAGTTTATATATTAAGAGTTCATCTGACATTATATATTTTTGCTGGATGCAAATCTACCGATACAAATTCAAGATGAGTGCAAAAATGCACCACTGTTAAATTAATTTAACTGCCGTCTGTGTTGGTGGTAGAATCCACAATATTGGGATGTAATATTTTCTTAGAATCCTCTTCCTCATTTTCTTATGATGAGTCCCTCCTCCACTCTTAGATTAAAAAATGATTGGTTTGGAGGTAATATCTCATATAATATTATTAAAATGTAACTACTCCTCCGGTCCTTATTATAAGACCCCATTTAACTTTTTATTTGGTCCTAATTATAAGACCCCAATCTATTTTGTCTCTTATATTTATGCATTTTTTCCAAGATAATCCTTCTAATAATGATAGTTTTAGCTAATATACTTAATTAGCAAGGATATTTTAGCAATGACAACACTTATTTATTATAAATAACCAACTTAACTTACTTCCTTAATTTCCTCAAATAAATCAATTGGGTCTTATAATTAGGATCGGAGGAGTAATGAATTTAAAGGAGAATCTCAGTTAAATTCAACTGAAACACCAAAATTCAAATTTAGGTCTATATTTTTAACAAATACTGATCTAATGAGGAACCTGTAAATGTTATTAAAAGATCGAAATCTTCTCCATAAGCATTTTAACAAGATTTAATTGGAATTTTTTTTACCTTAAATTCGGAATTATTGTGCTTACGCAGACAAGTAAATCTGGAAAGCTTGACGATTCCGAAAGAAAAACCAAAAAAAAAAAAAAATCAAGGAACGTTGATTGGGTCAATTGAGCAGCATCTCACACCCCCCCCAGTTCGCCCCTATTTTCCACGTGTGAGGATTTTGTTTTGGCGTGAACAGGGCGACATATCATTTCGTAAAGATAATAGTACAAATCAGAGCTCTTAAATGTGTGCCGATGAGACTGAGAATGTTTGGGAGATTTAGGCCTGTGGTGGCTGATTTGGCTTGTGATAACAACACTTGACCTTTTTTTTTTTTTTTAGGGAACAGGCAAAATGATATTAAAAATAAGAAAACATACAAAGTGAGAGAGTTACAGGAGAAGTAGAAGGACAGAAACAGAAATTAAATATAGGAGAAAAGAATGAAAAACTAACAGAAATAAAATGAACACTAAAAAAAAAGGATAATAGAAAAGAAATATCATGTAGTAGGATGCTAGATTAAAAACCAGATAACATTGTTTATTAGAAAATCGCAAGAAAAGACCATCAAAATAGGAAAGTTATACATATAGACCCATAAAAACATTAGTATGAGTTTTGACAACAATTTTTATAAATGGGTTCTTATGTGTAATTTTTCAATTTATAGGGTCTTTTTCATGATTTTTTCTTATTTATTTTTCAAAATTTATACAAAATTTTCTTTAAACAATAAGGGGAAAAAATAAAATGTATTAGAGATTGTTAAAGGAGAAATCAGGGTGAGTGAATTTCAAAATCCTGAATCAAATTCTTGTAATATTTTGACATTTTTTTAAACATTGTGAAATGATGCAAATGCCTTTCACTCTTTTTTTTTATTTTTAATAATGCCACCTTAGCATCCCTAGCCAGAAAAGAGTTGCAGGAACTTTGACCCGACAACCCCTTCAATACCCTGCCAGCAAGGCTTTAATGACTACAACTATTGTTTAAGTATTGACTGTTCTTGTTTAGTTATTGATAATATTTGTTTCCAAAATTTTGATGATTGCTCTTATTTAGCTATTGATTACTTTTTTTTAGCTGGTAATTACTCTAGTTTCACGATTAACTACTTTTGTTTCCAAAAATTTAGTGACTATTTTTGTTTAGTTATTAACTACTCTAATTTGCTATTGCCTACTTTTGTCTCAAAACAAAAAAAAATTATTTAGTATTGTCAAATATTCAATGACTATTCTTGGTTAGCTATTTACTACTCTTGTGTAGTCAAAAGCTACAAAAGAGTAATCATCGAAAACTCTGAAAACAAAGATAATAAATAGTGAAACTAGAATAATAAATAGCTAAACAAAAATAATCACTAAAAGTGTAGGAGTAATGACACCATTTCGCAACATTTAAAAATTTTAAAATAGTACAATGGGTCTAACTTAAAATTTTGAATTTCACACACCTAATTTGTCATTTAGTATTTTTGAAGATATGCTTGTGTCTTTTTCCAAACAATAAATATAATAATACAAAGCCTCTTTTTAATTCTTTTAAATTATTAAAAAAATAGACAGTTTCTTTTTAAATTAATGTCTATATTAATTCCCCTACGTCATTTCAATATTAAGAGAAGTCAGGTGTTTATGGGCTTTTTTATCAAAATGCTACAAACAGTAAAAATATATACTAAAATACTGTAGTTTTAAAATTATTTACTAACATTACAAAAAAAAGGCAATTTACCAATGGTATATTTCTAGCAGTTAAATAAAACCGCTACAAATTTAAAAATCTGTAGTGGTTTTCACACAAACTGCAAGAAATCCGTAGCGCTTTGACCAGAAAACGAGTGGGCCCCACACATTTCTAGCGATTAAGAGTCAATCGCTAGAAAGTAACCGCCACAACTATTCACACGTTTTGGCGTGAAGTTGGAGCCATATTTCAAGCGTTTCATTTTTAGCGGTTTTGCTACTGGAACCGCTAGAGAATACAAATCATTGTTGCATTTTCTAACAGTTTCAGAACCGCTACTAATGCAACTAACTTCTAGAAACCGTTAGAAATGTTTTTATTTTTCCCGAGGAGTTGTGACACGTGGTTAAATGTAGGTGGTGGCAGAGGGTAGTGAAAAAATAAAAAATTTATTTTTATTTCTATAAATTTTTTTATTTTTTTTATTTCTCAAGCCTTTAAACATTATTCTAACATCAATTTCATCTTCTCCTATTTTTAAGAATTTTGTGCAGCATGTCCCCCTAGAGTTTCAAGCTCCCAAAAATCATTAAAATCTATAACCAAGCCCAATAACAACAAGGGTAGTGAAAACTACATCAAAAACTATAAACATACCTTGTTTTAGAGCCTGATCTTGCATAGGACCACTTAACTTTTCTTTCTCCCTCTTTTCTCTTTCTCTACTAGAAACCATTTTCCCAGAGCTTCCCCAAGGTTTCCACAAGCATGGACGAAAATGAGGGGTGGGGAGGGGTTCTTATAGAAAACAAGACTGAATCTGAGCCGTTAATCTTAAAAATGTGTGGCTTGATCTGAACCGTTTATTTTCTCTTTGAATCTTGTGGTAACAAGTGTCCTATGACATCATGCCTACATTATCAATCCACATGTCTTTAATCCAACCATATACGTGTCTTGCATCCAGCTGTACACATAATACCTTCTTTTCCCATCTAACTGTATACTTGTCTCTTCCATTTTCCTTCATCATTAAGGCATTAAAATAGGAAGGAAATTAACATAAAGTTCGTGTAAAATACAATCCTTAGGTATTCCTCCACCTATCTTGCTATTCTGCACTGTATAGGGTACTTTTTCAGGTCCTGACTTACCCGGAACCATTGAGACATGTTATGGCATCATTTTCTCACCTCAAATAAATCCACATGGCATTATATAACATGCCTAGAGAGGGAGTGATCCTCTTCCCTTGTTCTTCCATTAAAATAATTAACATAATTAATAACATTTATTTCGGAGTGATCTTTACCGAATTCTTTCTTCCGGTCCACAACTCCGAGAATCTATCTCTGGGTACCAATACTATTTATTCATCACGAGGAATTCCTCTAATTTTTTTAAGTCAAAATTCAACCTCTAGACATTTGACTTTGACTTTTTCCTGATAGTACGTAAATAGGCTTTAAATTCCATCAAAGGCAACCTCTTCGCTTTCTGGGGGATGAAATTATTTTTAAAACCTGTGATAATTCCTCTAGTATTTTCTCCTATTTCCTTCCAATTATTTGAGGCCTTTCTATGCCTTAAATAATTCATTTTCAATAATATCCAAAATCAGTCAAAACCCTAGGAATTTCACAATTTCCTTCTAAGGGCATTTTTGTCATTTTTAGCCTCATATAGGCCTCTGAACCTTATGCCTATTTTTCTGAAATTTTTCTAAGATATTCAGGCCTTAACCTACCATTTCCCATTTTTTGGGCTTTTCTGGGATTTTCGGGCATAATTTTCATTTTTCTAAGGTATTCAGGCCTTAACCTACCATTTTCTTAGTTTGGCTTAACCTCAAAATTCATCTCATTGGCGCCTCTAACATAACCTTTGGCCTATATTTATCTCTATTTCTCATTCCTCGGCCTCCGAACTTCTTTTAAGCCTTTAACTTCCTCTTTTCTCAGTCCTAGAAAACTTTTCCTTTTGCGATTTAGTCCCTGGGAATCCTTCTATCCTTCCAGGGAATCTTTGGGATCTTTGCCTAAAAAAGGTCTAGTAGTCTACCCATTTCAGACTAATTTTGGTACTTCTAGGCCTAAAACTTGGGATGCGACA